CCTTCCCTCCCTCTCTCCCACTTTCACTATTGGTCATTCTCGTGGGGTAAAGTACTGAAGGCAAAAACAGAAAGGTAGAAACAATCACTTACAAGAAATAAAGGCCACAGATAGAGTTCTGAGCACATAGAAGAACACATGCACACACAGGCATGTGCACATACACAACCCAGCAAAGTCAGCCAGACACAGACACACATTCTGAGGCAAACGGGCACACCTGGAAAGACTTGAGACAGGCAGAGACGGAGCCACAGCAGAGAGATATCAACAGAGCCAACCTGCACACAAGGATGCACACGAGCAGACACTGACAAGGATAGGTACACTGCTGCAGAGGATGACACAGAGGCACTGCAAAAGATGCACCTATGAAAAGATAGGCACATAAGCAGATAACAGCCAGGGTGGGAAGAGGATGTTTGGCCTAGCTCTGTTCCTTCTCTCTTCTCTTTGCCTTCATGAAGTACCCTAATAAAGGACATTTACCTCCCTCGGTCTCCTGCCCTCAGGATTTTCCTCTGGGCTTTGTGACAACTGGTAGCAATATGTTTTATTTAAATAAACTCACTCCTGCTAATGAATCTGTTAGTTACTATGTCACCCTCCCCAAGGAACTGATGTCCCTTACCAGTTTAAATGATCATATCCAAAAGGCCCCTTCAGGCATGAGTTAAATGGTATAATATCAGGCCCTGTGGCTAGTACAGAGTTGGAGTCTGTCTTGACTCTTACTCCAAGACTAGGACTCTATTTCCCCAGTCTGCCATGATCTTTCTTAACTTCACTGGACTTTCTTTTACTCTTCTGCTGAATGAGAGGACTGTCGTAAGAATCCCCTGGCTACAAAGTGTTTATTGCAAAAGAAAAGTTTGAAAACCTCAGGGTTATACAGGGCCAGACAAGTTCTAAGGGTCCTTCCAGCTCTGACATTCTGGGATTCTATGACTAAGAGCTAATTCGTTCAAACCTAAACCCACAATAATTGGACAGAACTTGATTGAATTTTCCAAGCAAACATGGCATCACTGTCTGCCCCAATAAATATTTAGCTTTGGCCCCAGTTTATTGATTTTTGCAGAATCAATATTTCTTGGCTTAGTTTCCAACACTAACTGGTATACCCATGATGATATGAAACATGCAGGCTCAAAATGCCCTCTGAGGAAAGCCACAGATGGTTGTTGGTGTGTCCATCTGGCTTGGGCTGACACACAGACTGCACCACCCCCTCTGGCTAGTGCTGGGCACATGGAGGGGTGAGACAACTGCCTTTGAAAGGGGCATACTGTTTGGGTAGGTGGATCCATTTGGCCTAAAAGCTCAGGGATGCTGTAGCCAACTGATCACAAAGAGAACCTCAGTGAACAGGGCTTGCCTTGTGCAACTAAACTTTGATGATAAGAAACATTCCTAAGAGCATCTGCCTCACTTAATAGTCATTCATTAATTCATTCTACAGCGAGTGCTTTTTCTGTGCCAAGCTCTGTGCTAGAGCTAGGGAAACAGACCCAAACAAGATACAGTCAATATCTCTGAAGTATCTCATCTAAGAATCAGAATGTGATACAGTCAGGGGGGCAATATATGAGCCAAATCCAAGAAATATTGATGCTGCTCAGCATTAACAAACTTAGGCTATGGATAAATATTTATGAGAAAAATAATTTGGTAGGATTATTACTGTATATGCACACTTTTAATTATTACCACTGGCAAAACTGATGAATCAGAGAGCTTTTTTGTATGCAATATTCAAGATCCATATAAGTCTTGTAATTAGTTCAGGTAAAATAACTTGATTGATTCCTAAGTACAATTCTAAAAAGTACAAGTTAACTTAATACTTTTTGTTTATCTTTTAGTGACACATCCTTGTTTTATTTATCTTCTAGTTACACATTCTTGGTGACAGGGTTTCATTTGTTGGTGATGGTTTGAGAGCATTGTTTTTTTGGAGAGAATTAAGGCATTACTGGAAGAGAAGAGAAGATTAATTCCTCTCTTTGATGCTGCTGTGACACTAATCCTGTAACTCCCAAACAGACACACTTGTATAAGTTTGTGAGTTTGTTCTCTTGATCATTCATTCTTATGCTTATTTAGTCTTTCATACATCCACCAACCATACACTAAGTACCTTGTCTGACGAATGCACTGAGCCAGGTACGGGGACACTGGACATATTGAGACATAGCCCCTGCCCTTGAAAGCTTATGCTCCATAAGGGGAACCAACAAATAACTCGAGGATCTTATGATGAGTGCTGTAACAGAGGTATGAACAAAGGGAAGCCAAAAAGAACAGGGACTAAGAGATGTGAGGGTAGGTAGGAAAGCTTTAAAAGAATAGGTGATCCATGATGGGGCATGGTGGAGGAGGTCTGAAGGTTGGTCCTACTCATCACTGTGGGGCTATACAAAGCCATCCTCATTCCCCAAACTCTTTTTCTTTTAATTAGTAGAATGTATTTGTAAGAGCCACAAAGGTACACAACAAGCAGGTCTGTCTGTGGCTAGGATTAGCCCAGTAGCCTGCATCAGTTTAACTGCTTTGATATAGGATGAAATATAGCCACTCTTTACGAGAACATAATGGGAAGAGAGGGGTACTCAGAGTCTGGTTTCTATCCCCTGACCCAGCTTCTTGAAACCAGACTTTTCTTGCCCACCTAGCACCCCTATCTAGCAGAATTCTTTTTTCATGGGGGAAAAACGGTTTGAGTAGTACTGGGTATGATGGTAGCTTTCAAATTATTCACATTCCAAAGGAGCTTTAATGATTTCTAAGATAATTGGTTGTAGAAATAAGTCCTTCTAAAAACCCAGCAATAGAATGTTCGTGATGCCACAGGATGATTCAGAGCATTTGGCCTTAATTACTTTGATTGTCCGCCAGGATTTAATATATGAATATTACATTGCGATCCTCAATTTAATTTCTTGTGTAAATGGATTGTAGCAGAATCCTGTAGTCCTGGAACTGGCACATAATTCAGCGTGGGAGACACTATCTTAACTCATCTCATTACTCAAGCCATTTGTTGTCCTTCAGGCTTTGACAGTCGGGAGATGGGAAAGTAGCAGAGGTGATGTGATCTCTCAACCTGGGTCCAGACAGACATGAGCCATAGTCTCTACCGATTACGTTGTTACACAGACACAGACAGCACTTATTTTCAGAAGAAAAAAAAATGTTCCAGTCAATGTGCAGCTGTGTGCCCTGATCTTTCTTAGCATAATGAAGTAGAAAAAGCTGGATGTGCATGCAAGAGACCTGTGTTCTAGTCTTAGCTTGGCCACTGACTTGAAGTATGACCTTGGGCAAGTCACTTGGTATCTCTGAGCTTCAAATTGCTCACCATTAAAGAGAGAACTGCATGATCTCCAAGTGCTTTCCAGAGTGAAAGCTTTCTGATTCATTAGTAGCACATGGCAAATCTGACAGTCTTGGCACCATGGCTGAAAGAGGGTTGTTTCTATCCATCCTGTGAATAATAAGCAATTCCCCAAGAATGGGCAAGGTTTGAGAGAAGAGAGGGAAAAAGGAAGGGAAGGTGGAGGGAACAGCCTTGCAACTTTAGTGAGGTGTCCCTCAGGGTCCAGGTGAGCTTGTTAAGACCTTGGCAAAATTGGGCTCATTTGAGTCTGGGAAGCATGATGGAAATTAGGGGAAGAAAATTAGACTGAGAAAGTATTAAATGGGAAGCTACAGTACTGGAGAATTTATTTATAACACATGTAACAAAGAACTTGCATCTTGAATGTATAAAGAATTCCTATAATGAATATGAAAAGGGCAATCTAATAGGAAAAAAATGGACAAAAGACTTAAATAGGAATTGTACAAGAGTATATCCAAAAGGCCAATGAACATATGAAAAGATATTCAACCTCATTAGTCACCAGAGAACTGCAAATTAAACCACAGTGACATACCACTGCACACCCACCAGAATGATTAAAATTTAAAAATCTGACAATACTTAGTGTTGATAATGATTTGGCACAATGGGAGAGTGTAAATTAGTGCATACTTTGGAAAACCGACAGCATCTAACCAAGTGGAACATGTGCAGACTCCATGATTCAGTGACTCCACTACAACAGAAATGCAAGCACGCATGTACCAAAAGCCAAACAAAAATAACCATAGTAAGTGTTAGTCATTATAGCCCCAAACTGGAAATGGTCCAGATACCTATTGATGGTAGAATTGGTAGAATGGATAAATCAATCGTATCATATTCACAAAAGGGAATACTATACAGCCATGAGAAAGAACAATAGAAACTTCATGCAACAACATGGATAAGTCTTGTAAACATAATGTTGAATGAAAGAAGCCAGAAACAAAAGAATACACACTTGTTGGCAAAACTATAATGTTTAGGGATGCATGCTAAGATATAGAAGTATAAATAAAAGCAAGAAAGTGAATTATGAAAAATCAGAATGGGACTTTTCCCTTTTAGGAGGGAGAAAGGAGCTGTGATTAGGGAAAGGGCACAAATTGGGCACTGGGGTGCTACTGATACTTTATTTCTTAACTTTGTTAACTATTAACACAGGTGTTTCATTGAACAAGCTGTACATTTATGATTTGTGCACTTTTCTTTATATGTGGTATATTTCACAATTTAAAAAGATAGCTTTAAAAATACAGGGATAGGAAACAGCCAAGGACAATTTTTTGTCTCAGACTAATGTGACCTCAATTTCTATCCATCCTCTCAGGACCCTGCTCCCAGGTAATGGAATTTTACACTTTAGACTAAGAGAAGGCAGAGATTGTGTCTCATCCCTCTCTGTATCTGTCTGCCACAATTCTCCATCTTTAAAGCCAGCCTGACCCAAACTTCTTCCTTACATCTGTCAGCCAATTGGCTGGAGTCCCTGCTGTAATCTAGACCCCTTATCCTTTCTGTTATCCTTCAACTATTCTTGTTCCATTTGAGTTCTGTCTTTCTCCTGAGTCTTTATTCTGTCTTCCCTTTGCAGCCTTGACCCTTTGAACAATGGCTGAGTGACCCAACTGAGTTTCCTTGGTTGGAACTTCGGTAAGCCCTCCCTCTCTAAAAACTTGGATGCCTACTACCTTCGCTGTGTGATTTCCTCTGCTCCTGGCCAACTCAGGTAGGGTATCCACTGCTATCCCTCCCCCCAGATCTTACAGGGCTAAAGTGCTTTGTCCAAAATCCTTGGGGCCAGATATGTTTCAGAATTTGGGGAATTTTATCAAGGTACTCGTGTGCATTTGCCCATATCACATAATACCTCTAGCAGGTATTATGCTAGCAGGTAGCATAGGCCCCCATAATTAAATGCATTAATATTTTTGTCATGAAATATGTGAATATTCATACTAAGTGGCATAAAGAATGACTATCAATATCTTAATATAAGTTAAAATGAGTTTGAGCCTCAAACTTATGTGAAATTTTCTGGTTTTCAGAGTTTTGTGGATTGGGAAATGCAAATAAGAATAAATGATCTGTAGTAGGAACCCAATGCTTTTTTGGTAGATGGATGGAACCATGGAAGCATGGATGGATACAATGCATTATATGTGTTTATCCTCCAAAATAAGTGGCAAATGTAGATTTAACAAGAGTCTTCTTAGCCTTAACCCCAAGAGTGCCCAATTGTAGTCACATTATATTCCACTGCTGGCAAAAGGAACACTATTAGAAAACTCCACCACCTAGATCTGCTACCAGATTATACATGGCTTGCCTTGCATCAGGTGGCCACACCTGGACCCATCAATGGCCACTCCTGTGCATAGAACAGCCAGCCTTTTTCTTGGCTGGGGATGAAGTGGGCCTAACTAGAGAAGGGAAAGTTATGGGCTTGGCAGATACCTAGGTCTAGTTTATTGGGTCCAGTGTGAAAGAAATGGATGGGCTGCATATATCCCTTTGAGGTGGCCCTCCTTAAATAGTATTTCTCTTAGCCAGGCTTTGCAAAGATGTCCAGTGGCAATGAGTTCAAGATCACCCTTTCCAGCAAGGACTCAGACTGCAGTGGATTTATGTTGCTAGTAAAGGGTGTGCTAGGTGTTTTCCACTTCCAACCACCTGGGGGTGGGGATACTATATCCCATTGTGCTGGAATGCTCCAGAGGCAGAGCAGGGAGTTACATACAGGAGAAGCTGGCAAAGGACTAGAGAGTGAGTCAAAGGCAAACCTTCAGGCTTCCCCACCCAGGAGACATCAAGGAATCATGGGAAAACTCGGCAGGAAAAAACCACACAGTCACTTCCAGGACCAATGTCTGGAGGGGAACCCAAGAGGGAAAGGTGGATTTGAGGAGAGGGTAGGGGCCTCAGCCTCCGAGCTCCAGAACACTTGGCTGTTTGCTGCTAGAGAGTGGAGACTGTGAGGTTCCAGCTCTGTATCTCCCACAGCAGGGTTCCAGCCTTTTCAACCTCAAAGCAATAGGACAAGACTTACAAATTCTACAGTCTCTTACTGTTCTACCTTTCGGAACCTTTGAATCTGTGATTCCCTTTTAAATAATTGTTTCTCACAAGGGTAGTGCATGCTCCTTGTGGAAAATTTGGAAAATCAGGTAAATAAATGAAAGCTTAAGCTCACCTATCATCTCACTTCTTGCACATTTGATTGTATTTCCTTTTTGCTCACTTGTGATTGTTTTCTGTCTCTTTATAAAACTGTGGTTATGGAGTCTTGTATTTTTGGTTAGACACTTAAGTACATCGTGAGCATTTTCCATGTCATTTCAAAAGCTGATGCTAGCTTAATTTGAACATCCTCCAGACATTGTGGGGCACACTTAACAAGTATAAAATGTGTACTCTGCCCTATGGAATTTACAAATCAGGTTAAGAAGATGAGAGTAATATACATGAAACCAATAGTGAGAAATACAAAATGGAATATAATTGAATATCATTTGGGGGTTTAGTCTGGAAGGACTGTAAGAATCCAAAGGAAGGAGAAATTAATGTGGGCAGCACTAGATGAGGGAAGACTCATGAGGAAGGCAGGACTTAAATTGGCCTTTAAAGGATAAGAAGAGGAGAATTAGGAAAGCAAAAGCCTCAAGGATACAGAAGCAATGGGGGAAAGCTGGATTGAGCAATCAAAATCCCTTTATCCTTATTGTTGTTGTTGATGATACAGAGCTACTTATGGCCAGGATTTCAGTACTCTTCAGGGGCTCATCTTACCTATGAACAAATAAACCCAGGTCTCTAACCTAAAGGGGATTTGGAGGATAAATGCATGACAAATGAAGCACTCATAGTAATGTTGCAGTAGCTTGGGCTCAGATCTTTTTCCATTTAGTAATTGACTTGTTTCTTTGCTGCATCTTGAACATTGATGGCTCAACTGTCATGGTGCTAGTGACCAGAGTCCCCAATTGGACAACTTCCTAGGTAGATAGCTGGTTATATGACTCCAGAGCCCTTGTGACAGTCAATTCACTACTGTGGGATTGGTAATCACAAGAAGAAAGTAAACAACGAGAGAAAGCCCATGGTGCAAGCCTTTTTCTTCATTCACTGAAGACATAACTAAAAACTTGTTGGAAAAGTTAATTAAGCTATATCTGTGGTCTGAAGATCTCCCCAGTGGGACTAGGAGTTTCCCAAGGACAGAGAACCTGTGGTTTGAAGAACAATAGAAAGGCACATGAAATACAACTGTTCAAGATTCGTTTATGATGCATCAGAAATGCCTTGCTTATGGTCAGGAGACTTGCCATTAACTAGCTGTATGCTTTTGACCAAATTCCATTACCTCTTGAATTTCACCTCAGTTTTCTTCCTCATCTGTAAAATGGGAACTATTTCAAAGTTCCCTTTGGCACCAAAATTCTATGAACCTACGATTTCTTTGGACCACCACATCCTTTCAGATTTCAGGAATCCCCTACAACAATGCAAATAACCCTGAGAAAAGGCTACATCTTACCCTGTGTTGCCAGTCACCACCATACCTGGGAATCGAAGTCCTTTGGGGAATGGGACCAGGAAAGCGAGCAGGCCCAGCCTGAGGGGAGAGGCACAGAAAGAAGTGGGTGGGCCCCAAAGATGTCACCAGTTAAGCAGAGGGAGGATCTTGATACCTCCTTCTCTATCTGCCTGTCCCCTGACTGCCCAGCAGCAGGCTGTGCCTGACTGCATGCCTGCGTAGGTGCCTGCTCACCACAGAGTGCCCTGGCTGCCAGCATGCTATTCCAGGCCAATAGGAGAACCCTGAGGTGAAGTACCCTGGGGCCAATCATAGGTGGAAATGTTTCTTTAATGGCCAGAGAGACTGTATCTTTGGCTCCTTTTCATTGGTTCAGACCAACTGAAGGCTTTCTCGACTCTCAGCCAATGCTGAGCCATCAGCCAACAGGAGTGGGCTTGGCTCCTGGATCTTGTTTTCCTCTGGGGCTGATGGGTAGCCCTGCCTCAAGGGCTTCCCTGTCTCTCCGTCATCATCCTTGACTGAAAAATTTTGACATGAAGACAGAGGGCATGAGCAGCAGGACCTAATGAATGCTGCCCAAAGAGAGGTAGGCATGCTGGGGGCCAGGGGCCATGCCTGGGCCTGGCCCCTGCAGGTGACTGCAAGTGAATCAGCAAAGGGAGAGAACAAGGAGATAGAACTGGTGGGAGTGGGGACTTTGAGATTGAAGCTAAGGGCATATCCTGACAGGTCAAACTCTTATTACTTCCTTCCCACAAGCCATGAGTATCTAAGTGGCTCTCTCAAAATTTTCTGACTTGGAGAAAAAAAAAAAGAAAGAAAAGAATATCTAAGTGGCTTGTTCAAAACCTTATGGTTCCCTCTCTGCTCTTACCCTATAGCCCCAACCACAGCCAAAGAAAGGTTCCTCCCAGAGAGTGAGAGAAGGTTGTTGGATAAAGTGTGGTAGCTCCCAATTGGGAGCTGCATTACCTGTCTTAGGATGCCCACAATACCCAGAGATAGACTCTGCACTCCAAAGACACGTGGATTCCACAATTTTTTTCTTCTAACGTATCAGATTATAGCCTAACCAGTTCTTCATATGCTTCAAGGAAGTCTAGGATTGTGGATTCAAACCTGCATAAACTGGGCAGACTTCACTTTGTTCTCTGACCACTGACACAATTATTAGTCCCACCAAAAGACAAAACCCCTAACCTGAGCAGCTTTTTAAGCAACGTGTACACAGGAGGAAGAATGAGAGAGTGAGTATGAAGGGTTCCACAAAAAGCCCATCTCTACTTTTGTAGATATTCAAACATCTTCCATCAAATACCTACTGAGTACCTTTTATGAGGCAGGCACTCTGCTAGATGCTAAGGGGACAAAAAGGAATAAGACACATAAGTTTTGGTGGATACCACCAGAGCAGAGCAAAGGGGTGTTTTGAGAATTGGTAATAGACTACCTTAATTCCTTTAATGGTTGTCTTGCTGTTATAGTTGGCTTTGCAATGCTCCATAACTGGCCCTTGCAAAACTAGTCACAAACATCTGTCTTCGATGCCTTTAAGGTGCTCCACTGTTAAAACTTTCTTTCAGAATAGAATTTTTTTACAAAATTGCTGTAGGACCTTGGGCAAGTCAATTCTTAGTTCCCTTCTCCTTAAAATAAAGGCTCTGCACTCAGGGCTGTGAATTCCTTTCCAAATCTAATAGACCATCTATGAATCTGTAGTAGCAGTCATTTACTCCTTAGTATAAATTTAAATAGCTATGTTGTTTCTGGATTTAGCTACATTTTAAGCTTTGTGTCCAATTGTAGAATGAAAGACTTTGTCATTTAGTAAGAAATTGCAGGGATCTGCCTACAAGGGGGAGAAGCATTTGTGGAAGGGAAATGACTAGGAAAGGAGTTATAATAAACCTCTCCAATATCCTAACATCCTCTTTTCTCGGGCTATAGGACCCTGCATTCCATTGAGGCTAATCCTTACAGATTACTTAGTTCCTGATAAAAACGAATCATTAAAAAATAAGCCCTTTTGGAGGATTACAATGCTCTAACACCAAGAAACTGTTGCAACAATGAGCATGAAAAGTTCTGAGCACATATCACACAGGCTCAGGATACAGGGATTTTAATAGCATCTTTGTTCATTGCTCTTCCCTCCTGCCCATTTTGGGTTCTTTTGGAGCCTGGATCTG